TTTTTTTTTTTTTCAGGTTTGGGGATGAAAAATCATAAAATGAATAAAAGCTTCCTTTTTTTTTTTTTTCTTGCTATCCTTTTCAATGCTCTGGAGTAGTTTATTGAAGTGGATCCTAGTTTTTAAAAGGATACTCTAAAAACATTTTTGGAATAGAGACATTCAAGTATGAACTGGATATTTGATGCTTTGATGAATTTTGTGATTATGCCAATGTCTTTACCCTGAGAAGATGCATGCTGAAGTATTTAGGGGTAAAGTGTCAGAATGTCTGACTTGCAAATGGTAGGCAAAAACAATATGTGCTTATAGAGCAAATGTGGCAAATTTATTAAATCTAAGAGGAGAATATATAGCTGTTCATAGTACTATTTTAAGACTTTCTAAAAGTAGGGGCGCCTGGGTGGCTCAGTCGTTGAGCGTCTGCCTTCGACTCAGGTCATGATCTCAGGGTCCTGCGATCGAGCCCCGCATCGGGCTCCCTGCTCGGCGGGGAGTCTGCTTCTCCCTCCCCCACTCCCCCTGCTTGTGTTCCCTCTCTCGCTGTGTCTCTCTCTGTCAAATAAATAAATAAAATCTTTAAAAAAAAAAAAAAAAAATTTTAAAAAAAAAAAAAAAAAAGACTTTCTAAAAGTATTGAACTATAAAACTTCAAATTATAAAATGTTCATAATAAAAATGTAGGGGAAAATACGTAGCAATTATGGTTTTTTTGAAGGTTTAACAGACCAGCTGGACCTGGCTTTATAGCAGGAAGATAATAACCTTTTAATTTCTGCTATGTTTATTAGCCTATTAAGGTTCCTGAGTCAATATTGGCCACTTATAATCTGCCAAAAAAAGTCACCCATTTCATTTAGATTTGCAAGTTCATTGGCATTAAGTTGTATCTAACAGTGGTACCAAACATGGCTAGACATGTTATTAGAACATCCAGGTGGAGATGTCCACTAAGCAGTTGGTCCTAAGCCTCAAACTCAGATGTTCAGGCTGGAGACTGATTTAGGAGTCATCAGCAATTTAAACTAGGACAAAGTTCTGAGTGTGGATGACAACTTGCGAGTGGACTGTGAAAAGCACAGGCATAAGAAGGGCCTGTGAAACCTGGTAAGGAGCCATCTGAGAGGTAGGAGAACCAGGAGAGGGACGTCAAGACCAAGAGTCTGTGGGCGCTATGTTCCCTACATCGCATGCAGGGAAGCTAGTGACTTGGGTTCTAGAGAAGGGAACAGTAAGAAATATGAAAACTGTTTTTGAGCTTTCCTTTAGAAGTTTCTAAAGTTCTAAACTAAGCCCTAAGGGAAAAGCTAGTCACTGGGTTCCAGTTCTGGTTCTGCCACTGATATGATGCTAAGGCAAATCGCCTCATTCTCAGGGCCTTTTCATCATCTGTAGCACAGAAGGGTTCAGAGGCAAAAGGAGAGGTTGGAGGACTGAGTTCGTCTGTCACCTCTTCACTCCCTGTGAACCACAGCAGCTCTGCCTTCATGTTTCCATGTTCCCTTTCATGTGACATTTGAAAAGTAGCCAAAGATTAAAAGCACTACACTAAATGGATCTCCAAAATCTGGTATTGCCAATCATGTCTCACAGCTTCAATGACCATTTCCAGGCTGGTACTGGTCAGATTTCTTTTTTTATTCCAGAGGAGCTTTCCCAGCACTTCCAGCTGCTGTAAGTCATCTCTATTTACATGCCTTGACATCAGTTTAAACTCAACCATCCAAAACTCATTTTATCATCTCTAAAAGAGCTTCTCCCAGCTTTGCTCTTACATAGAGGCACCACCATTTGTGCTGTTTTCCAATTCTCCTAGTTCCCCATGCCTTCCCCTCAAAAATCGAAATCACTTCTGTATGTTTACCATCCACCTCTGGTGAAGGACAGGGCCCTTCTGACTCTCCTAAAATACCCCTTGATTTCTGCCTCCTTTTCTGTCCCTGTGACCACCCCTCATGGCTAGGCTTTCCTCATTTGGGGGAGATTGCTTTAGGCAATTTAACTGGTCTCCTTTCCCTCAGCATCTTATCCTCCAATCACTCTTCATAGTATTAGGGAAGTTAGTCTGGGGGGACATAAAGTTCAATTTTTGGGGGTGAGGTAGATATACAAATGACTAATAGCAGAGACAAAGGGTTGAAAATCAGAATTAGAATCATCTCCACCATATAAGAACAAGAACTCTAAGAGCAGATGAGATCTTAGGAGAATATATACTACAAAAAAACAAAAGATCCAACTTGGGAATTATCATACTGGGTTTAGAGCTTTGCACGAATGTCCATCAAGTGACGAATGGATAGGGGCACCTGGGTGGCTCAGTCGGTTAAGTGTCTGCCTTCGGCTCAGGTCATGATCCTGGAGTCCTGGGATTGAGCCCCGCATTGGGCTCCCTGCTCATCGGGGAGTCTGCTTCTCCCTCTCCCTCTGCCCCTCCCCTGGCTCATACTCACTTTCTTTCTCTCTCTCAAATAAAAAAAATCTTAAAAGCGATGAATGGATAAATAAAACGTGATATATCCATACAACGGAATATTCTTCAGGCATAAAAAGGAATGAGATTCTGATACATACTACAACACGGAGGAAGCTTGAAAATATTATGCTAAGTGAAAGAAGCCAGACACAAAAGACACTTATTGTATGATTCCTTTTATCATGAAATGTCCAGAATAGGCAAATCCATAGAGACAGAAAGGAAATTAGCAGCTGCCAAGGGCTGGAGGAAGAAAGTGAAAAGGGGAGTGACTGCTAATGGGTATGGATTTTTTTTAAAGATTTTATTTATTTGAGAGAGAAAGAGAGAGCGCATGAAAGAGCACAAGGGGGTAGGGCAGGGGAGAGGGACAGAGGGAGAGGCAGAAGCAGACTCCCCCGCACCCCAACACCACGGAGCAGGGAACCAACGCGGGCTGGATCCCAGGACCCTGGGATCATGACCTGAGCCAAAGGCAGACACTTAACCTACTGAGGCACCCAGACGCCCCAGGTATGGATCTTTTTTGAGCGATGAAATGTTCTGAAATAAAATAGTTGTGATGGTTGCACAAGTCTGTGAATATACTAAAAACCACTTCCTTGACCTTCAAAAAGGTGAACTTTATGGTATGTGGATTATAGTTCAATAAATTTTTTAATTCAAAATGTTAAGGGTAAAGTTGAAACATTACTTTCATCACACAACCTATGGAGTTGGGTTTTCCCCAAGACAAACTGTCAATTTTTAAATAGAATTGCCAATCTATGGCTGGCTAGTTTAGTATAAGGAGTTAAAGATCCTGTGTGAAACATACTGGCAGCAAAAATGGTTGAGTATGTATCAGTACAAATTTATCATCCCTACTAGAAAACGTGTTTCATTAGTGGTTGGCGATTAGGATCAAATCTATGTAAAGAGAATTGATTTTCTACCTTAAAAAGCAAAAATAATTCCCAGGGAATAGGGAGGGAAGAGGGGATACCTTCCCTTTTCACTCACTCAATTTCTTTCAGCCTTTGTTTTCTAATCTTGGAAATACAGAAGATATTAACAACCTCATAATGTTGCAAACTCTGCAATCCTTGAGAGTCCATAAGAGGTGGATATCCCAGAATGAATTCTAGTTCTGTACTTAGTGGGCCCATTAAGGAAGGATGAGCTACATAAGTACCTAATACAATCAGTGACATGTATTTTCATTTAATATTTACGACTAATAACTGTGATATTATTGCAGATGAAGAAACTAAAGTTCAGGGAAGTTAAGTAGGTCAAGGTAGAAATTTATTACACGAGGAATTTAATGTCATTAGTTTCAAACTACTTCTTCCCCCCTCCCCATATAGATGAGCAGAAATAGGAATCTAATACTTTCAATCCTAAAACCTGAACGTTAGATTCCACTGAAAGGGTAGCCGTTAATTTTCTAATATTGTGTTACCGACAGAGATTTACAAATGGGAAGGGGCAGGGGAGAAAGAGCATGAGAGAGAGAGAGAGTCATTAAGAACAAAGTTATGAGCAAATCGTACTGGTTTATTTACAACTGTAATTTATAAACAGTAACACAAACATCTTTACATTAATATTATGAAAAAAGTCCCATGACTGAAATGGGCAAAAAATGGAGACTTCAGGGCATTTCTAAAGGGGGCGCCAAAGAAAGAAAAAAAGAAAAATGCAATACAACCGCTGTGGGTAGAGTTATAAATATCAAGTACTGCACCAGGTGCAATTTCATGCAAATGTCTTCAACCACTCAAGTAAACGGTTTTTATTTAGATATTAGAATAAAATATCTTGAACTATGTTACCTGTAATTCACTTGATTTCCATTAAGTAAATTAAAATAGCTGGTTATAAATAGGGTACATCTAAATGTTTCTCCTATCAACCCCTTAGAGATAATCCATTACATTTTAGGACATGGCAGATTGTTAGGATTTGCTAGTTCCCAAAAAGATTTTATAGGGAGTCATTCCATAGCCCCAAACATGTTCCCGGATTTCTTCTCACCAAATGTGTCTAATATAGACCTCAATAAATTAAATTGAGAAAGCTGCAAAATGAAGCTGATCACTTTTTAGTTTCGTCATATTAAAAAATAAAAATAGTTTCAATACACTGGAACTTTTAGCAAGAGAAGACAAAAACCAAAGAAGAGAAAGGAATTTCAGAAACAGATGATAAAACAACTGTTCTTTATGTAGCTCTCTTATTATCTGGCTTTTATTTAAGTGGATACTAGTGTGGTCACAGACCATAACCTCAGTAAGGATAAATCAATGTGTGTACAACACCTGTTCTGAAATATCCTAAATCAAATATTCCACTTGTAATAAAGACCAATGACATTTTTACAGGTACAATTCTGTCTCCAAAACGTTTGTTTTAATCTTAGTATGCCTACCTACTTATTATAAGCTTTTAAGTGCTCCTTAGAAACCATTAGGATGAAGTTTAGTATGTGAAGCACCCAGTGTTCAAATCATTAGCTAATGGCACAAAAAATGATTTAGAAACTGATGCTTCAACTAGCTGGACTGCATTTCCGAGATGGCTGGAATCTTCATCCACTTCATTAAAAAGATGTCACGTTTTTTTAAGAACAGAAACAGCAAGCTAGTAATCTATGTAATACTTTGTTTCTGATACTGCTCAGTGGATAAAACTAAATGTAGCAATTAAAGGGGTCTCTTCAACTAGTTCTATCTCTAATTTTCAGTGAAGACATTGCAAGTATATATGTGTATGGGTGTTTTTAAATCTGAAAGTGATGCATGTTCCCTTTTAAAACACAGCTCTTCAAAACAGAACTGCGTTCTGCACCCTTAGTTCATAAGGGCATAGGGTCAGTTACTTCAAAGTCATTTAATAACTGACCTTTATAAATCATTTTACAAAACCGAAAATGCAAAAGAAAATTTAAGAAAAATTTTAACTGTCCAGAAATTGATTATAATAATTTACACATTCTTAGACCTGCAATTCAAGCACCCCCATGAGCAAATGAAAGGTCCTCAGTTAGTATTCAATCAGGAAAATATGTCCATGTTTCTTTCTCTTGGTTGCCTTAATTTCTTTTGAAATAATTCTCTTTTATATTAACTTTCCAAAGCATCCAAAACTTTCATGATCTGTTGTTTTATGGCTTTGGTAGCATCTCCTGCATTTGGAATCAAATACCTGGGGGGGAATATACATATATATTAATATAAATTGCTTTCACTCCAGGACTCAGCTTAGATGTCACTTCCAGTGGGAAGCTTCCCGTAACCTACAAAGCAAGCAGACACACCCTTGTATTTACTCCCCATAACATCTCAATACACACTCGAAAGCACATTTTGAAAGAAAGAAAATCTAAATGTGAAAGTAAGATGATTTTTCATATACTGCACAGCCAGATGGAATGAACCACAGATCAGGAGTCAGGAGGGCTATATTTGGTCCAATTACAAGCTAGGTGTGAAGATCTGGAAGTCATTCAACTCCTCTGGGCCTCACATTTTTATAGGATTATAAAGATGGTTTAGTTTTGAGATCAGTGTGGTCCTATGGCCCTTGGTGCCAGTCCAGGAACTGTTTGTCACTGGTTCACAATAAGACAATAAGGAAAAGCTTGTACCAGACTGTAAACTAAATATACCACTCAGCACACTGCTTACTTCACTGACACTTTTTCAAAGCAATAATTTTTTTGATGAAGGAAAATAGAAACACTGGCTTATATTCTGAAACAAGCTTCCTATTGATTGCAAACCAGCATTTAGTGCAGCAATGGTACAGATTAAAGAGCCTTCTGTCAAAAAGTTTATGAAATTAGCTATGGCACTCACCGGAACCACGTGCTGATTAACCACATATGACTAACGATACAGAAGAAAAAGATCAGCAAAGAATGCTAATAAAAGCAGCTCAAGTATCCTATTCCACCATCTATTCCCCCAAATAGAGAAACAAACTATGTTTAATAATAAACTAACTCAATAATTCAGATAATACATCCTAAGAAAATCTTACCTTTCGATTGCCAAGATTTCTATTCCTGAAGCACTGCTGTTTCCATACTTGAAGGTAATTAGCTCAGGATGTTTTTTTTTAGATGTAATTTTAACTACAGAATTTAGTGCTTGTCGAGACTGTATATAAGCCAATCCTTTCCGTGAAAGAATCTCCCTTAAACAGTACATGTGTGTTGCAGTAACCAACAGATGACTTGAGAGGGGGAAAAAAAAACCATTAAAAAACAGAGAATTTTAAAGAAATGTCGTGCAAAACAGCTGTTACTTCAACAATAAAAAATATTCAACTCCAGATGAAATCACTTTCTGAATTAAAGAATATAGACAAAGGATCACCTAAAAACAAAAAAGCTACCCAATAATAGTTTTTAATTTCTTTAATTGTATGCAAAATATTTTATTAACAGAAAATCTTGTAACTGTTTAAGAGCAAGTTTTATATTTTATATAATAAAATGCACAATACAGTTAGAAATCATTAAAATAATATTTTTAGAATCTACTCTGCATGGTATATGGAATATAGTACTTTTCAAACTTTTCCACAGTTATTGTCTATATTCATAAACTATTCTCATTCACTATACTATAGTGTATACTTTACATTGAAGACCACTAAGCAGTAGTTGGGCTGCCTTACATGTTTTATATTTGGTAACTGGACCTTGAACATAGAATGGGCACAGAATTATTAACACACCCCCTCCCGTGTCTCAGCTCACTTAATATAGGGACATACTCATACACTTTTATGTAATACAATTAAGACTAATATCACACAAGGCCAGAATGCAGGACATTCTGCAGAATAGAAGGCCTAGCCTCAGAGGATTCACTCATCATGGTGGTAAGGGCCGTGGTCCTGTTGGACACTGGGTGAGACTAAAGAGATTAACAGGCACATGCAATGTGTGAACCATGACTGGATCCTGGATCAGAAGAAAAAAAGGGACTAGAAAAGATACTTTGGGGCACTCTGAAAAATCTGAGTGTGAACTATATGTTGAATGATGTTCATTTTAAGGTTTCAAAGAGTGATAATGCTATTGAAGTTGTGTAAGAGAATGCTCATATTCTTGGGTGATTTACGCTGAAGTATTTCGGGGTAAAGTGTCGTATCTGTAAGATTCTTCTGAATGGCTTGACAAAAGAGAACTGTATATGTATGTGTGTCTATGTATAGATACATAAATGGAGAGATGGGGCAGTGCAAAAAGAAATTAAAATCTGATGAACCTAAGATGTTTATAAAGATGTTCAATGTACTGCTTAACTTTTTTGGTTAAATTTTTCAAAATAAAAAATTACTACATAAGAAATATTTTTAAAAATCAAGACATTTAGGGGCGCCTGGGTGGCTCAGTCGGTTAAGTGTCTGCCTTCAATTCAGGTCATGATCTCGGGGTCCTGGGATCAAGCCCCATGCTGGGCTCCCTGCTCAGTGGGGAGCCTGCTTCTCCCTCTATCTCTGCCTCTGCCCCTGCTTGTGTGCCCTCTCTTTCTCTCTCAAATAAATAAATTAAGTCTTTATTTTTTAAAGCTTTTTTTTTTTTAAGATTTTATTTATTTATTTGACAGAGAGAGAGACAGCGAGAAAGGGAACCACAAGCAGGGGGAGTGGGAGAGGGAGAAGCAGGCTTCCTGCCAAGCAGGAGCCCGATGCAGGGCTCGATCCCAGGACCCTGGGATCATGGCCTGAGCCGAAGGCAGACGCTTAACGACTGAGCCACCCAGGCGCCCCTAAATTAAGTCTTTAAAAAAAGAAAATAAAAATCAAGACATATGGTACAAATTGACAAAGTGAAATTATATCTTACTATACTTGAATAAAGAAAATTTCTTCTGCAGCTCAGTTTTTGTATTAACGTCCCAAATTTAATTTTACTTCAGAAGAAGGCATTTTAAAAAGTACCTAGGAAACATGTGTCCACTTTCTTTAACTTCTTTACAAGGAAAATGATGCTTGACGTCTGGCTTGTTTATCCAAGTCTGGATGTTTACAACCTCTTTTCTGTCATCATCTGACATTGAAGAGCTATCAATTTCATCTACGAAGAATTGAAAGTATTAAAAGTGGGAATTACCAACTTTAAAAACGAGACATTTCTTAACAGCCTGAAAAAAAAATTTCAATATTTTAAACATACAGTTTGAAAAACAAAACAATTCTAATCCTGCTACTATATTTCCTTATGCCCCTCGCATAATACAGAAATATTATTATGAAACTTTAGACCACATGGTAAGAAAGTGAGGTGAAAATACTAAGAATACACTTGTAACACTGTGTGTCAACTTCAATAAAAAATACTTCAAAAAAATAATGGAAATGAATTTTTAAAAGACTAAACTATCTGAGGAATTTCAAAACTTTTGCTTTACATAACATGACTCTAATCTATGTCTAGACTCTACAGAGGTGACTGAATTGTCCAATAAGAAGCACCTATCTTGAGGGCAAAGATGGCAGAGTTCTTTTTCTCTTGCTGGTTTTTGATTTTGAGAAAAACAACCCAAAAAATCCAACCCGGGATAAATAAGTAAAAATCTCTTCAGTGTTTTTTCTTTTTCATGAGATAACTGTAAGACATTCTAATTATTTTGTTTTTCTAATTTAAGAAAGAGGAATTACAGTTGCTAGGGTTAATAATTACAAATATTCCTCCCTTTTTAAGAAATACTTCAAAATATAAAGAAATAATAAAAAAGGAAATCTCATATATCTATACACTTTCAGCCTAAATAAAAAGTGGAAACCTTGTATCTCTCTCCCCAATCACATTCCTCTCCCTTGTCCACTAAGAAACAGTGACTATCTGTTACGGTTCATCCTTTCCTTTAATCATACATGAATATCCCTAAACAACATACAGTAGTGTTTTGCATTTTAAGTAACATTTATATAAATAGTAGACAGTTGGATTGTATTCTTCCACAACTGCTTCTGCACTCCCAACACTGTAAAATTTATCCATGTTGATACACAGAGCTCTAGTTTTCTCATTTTCATTACTGTGCAATTTTCCATAATATAAATACATGTGTAAATACGTGACACATGAAAATATACCGTAATTTATTCATCCATATGCCTCTCAGAGGAATGAAAATAGTTGAAATGAAAACTATTAATGAAAGAAGTTGAAATATTCAGGGAGAGCTAGAGACTGATAAATAACAGGAAGATAGCAACAAAAAGAGAGGGGCAAGGACAAAAAAAACCCAATTAGAAATAGCACACAGAAAATTTCATTTACCTCAATGTTACATTGTTTTTGGGAAGGTTTTTTTGTAATATTTATTAAACTGTCAAATGTGGTTCCCTATAATCTAACAATCTTACTACTAAGAATATACCCTCTATACATACTTACAAAAATTCATAAATACATGTATAAAAATATTATCATTTGAGACAAAAAAAACTGGAAAACTATCAGTGTGAACTGTGAGAAAAATGATTAAATAAATTATGGTATGCTTATATGATAGAAAGAGAATGATGGTGGAATATGGGCTGAGATGGAAAATATGCAACATGTATTACTAAATAGAAAAAGCAAGGTGAAATTTGGGAGTTTTTTCCCTCTCATTTTGTATATTTATTTACTGTTTTATTTTTTCTAACCCAATACACATATTAATATTAATCATGATTACTTAACCAAAGTAATCTTGGCAGCCACAATATGAACCAAAGTAATGAATTATTTTTAAAAAATACAAAGACAACCACAGAGAATGACAAATTTCCCTGGCACAATATCCCCATCTTGTGGCCCTTTAGGATATTGTCTCCAATTCAAAAAGGCTCTTTCCAGATGTCTCAGTTTTGGAATTCCCTGACTTTAGTCTCACAACTCTCAATCTTCTAGGTGGATGGATCAAGGGGATTTAAATCAAATCCCATGGACCTAAATACTATTTCAACACTGATAATTCCCAGATCATCAGTTTATTAGACCTTCTCTCTTTGGCTAAAGACTCCTACAAATCAACTGCCACTCAGCATTTCTGCTTGAATTCTAATAGGCATAACTTAGGATGTCTAAAACCAAACTCTTAGTAGAAAAACTACAGACTCTCCAATCTACAGAATCTTTTTTTTTTTTTTTTAAGTCGTTGTTGGCTAATCCCAGAATGCTCTCTCTAATCACTGCTGATTAGATCAGGAAAGCGTCTACAGGTAAGTGTTATTACTATACCTGTGTCATATTCTTCTTCATCCCCAATGCTGAAAACAGGCTTTACACCACGGTAAGGCTTGCCCACTCTGTCACTGCTGCTCACATGCCTATATTCAAAGAATTTTAGAGGGGAAATCATCACTTAAGAAGTTACCAAAGATTTTCACCAAGTATCATATGAATATTTAAACAAAATGTACATATTCTTTGTCCCTAGCCCCCACATAACACCCAGTTTAGGACAGTTATGTTAGGGAAACTGTAACAAGATAAGGAAATTATGTTAGCAAAAATGGCATTATGTCTTGATAGGCTGAATGCTTTCAATCTGTAAAAACTAAAAAAAAATTTTAATATTTATATTAAAACCACTGCTTAGATCTGTGTAGCCTTAGGGAAGTCATTTAACCTCTCTGTGATTCTGTTTTCATATCTCTAAAACAACTATAGTAACAATATTTACCCTTCAAGGTTACTGTGAGAATTATATCAGTTAATATTTTGTAAAGCTCTTAGAATGCCTGGCATATAGCAAGTGCTATGCACATCTGTTAGATAAAATAGGTTATGGAACCAAATATTCAAATTCTAGGAGAAGTGTTAAGGCTTTCTCATATGGGAGCAAATACCTTAAGGTTCTTCCTCTCTTTTTTTTTATCAGTTTCAGTTGTACAACATTGTGACTCAACAATTCTGTACATTACCCAATGCTCACCACATTATAATCCTCCCATTTTTTTTATTACTGTTACTTTTGTTTTAATAGAAACATGCTACTTCTTTTACATAAATGTAAATAAACCATGAAAATTTAATCTGCCTTTCTTTTTCAAGTGGCAGAAGCATAAACAACATGTAAACTCAAACTTGATTAGTTCTGCAGGAAGTATGACCTCTCTCTTTTTAACATAAAAATTTATACCTTAGTACTTTTTAGGTAAACTCAAACAAACCAAGAAGAAAAATTAAAATATTTCAACAAAATACATGTTTCTAGGGAAAAAGCATTGTATTATTTGTAAGATAAATGTTCCATCAAGATTATCTACAATGAAGAAAAACTGGCCTTTTTTGGGTCATATATCAAGAGATAATCCAATACGGAGAAAAATTCAAGTTACATGTCTTAATTTTAGAATTCAGTTTTTCCAGAATATAGAGATCAAATCTGTATTTTAAATAATTTCTTAATACATATCTTCAATAAGGTATTATTCATTAGAGCAAATAAAATAAATAATTCAAACAACTATAAAACTCAGATGGAATTTTCTTATAAAAGACAAAGATAATACAGCTTTGTCTAAAAATACTTTAGTGCCATCTAGATTATAAAACTGTATGAGATGATTATTGGTTCTCTCCTGATTTATAGTAAAGCATAATTAAACAGACATAACATAGAAACAAAGATGTTTACAGTAGATGCTTGAACCAGAAGGCAAGTATAAACAAAGCGAAAATAAAAAAAAAAAGGGGGGGGTGGATCTGGCTGGCTCAATCAGTAGATGTGACTGGATCTCAGGGTTGTGAGTTTAAGCCCCACCTTGGGCATGGAGCCTACTTACAATTAAGAAAAAAAAATTTTAATAATCTTGTTTATAAACATTGCTGAAATAGTTTTTTTTTTTTTTTTAAGATTTTATTTATTCATTTGAGACACAGAGATACAGAGAGAGAGAGAGAAAGCATGAGCAGGGAGAGAGGCAGAGGGAGAGGGAGAAGCAGGCTCCTCGCTGAGCCAGGAGCCCAATGCGGGGCTCGATCCAGGACCCTGGGATCATGACCTGAGCCGAAGGCAGACGCTTAACCATCTGAGCTACCCAGGCGCCCCCTGAAATAGTTCTTAATAGACTGGCTAAAAATTAATGAAATTCAATGGCTGGACTCTTTTAAAAAAAAAAAGCAGTATACTTATACGTTTTTAGCTGAATAACAAAAACATCTGTAACATAGTTTGACCAGGCTTTATTTACTGTGCTCAGAAGGAAATCCGGTTCTCCCTAACTTTTCACTAAATTCTGTTTTCAAAATATTTGCCTGTAGACCAAAGAAGATCATTTAAATTTTTAAAACCTTAAGAATTTGGGAGAAAATTGGGAGTTAAAATTAGACTACTTCGATGGTTCTATAAAAAGAGAAGGTAGAAAGATGATTCACAAATAGATTATAATTTTAAAAAGAAGCAACTGCCTTTAAAATAGTCTCAGATAAAATTGTGATAGAGGCTCTATAATTGGCATTGTGCAGGAATAGTCACAGTAAATAAAAACTCTTACCAGTAAGTTAGGAGTAAACTACTGCTTTTAAAAATGCTACTTCTAGTCACTGAAAATACCGAAATGACAAAAAAAAAAGTCAACCCCATTATTCCAAAGCTTAACATATTTAAAATACAACTTGAGGGGCGCCGGGGTTGGCTCAGGCAGTTGGGCCGCTGACTCTTGATTTCGGCTCAGGTCATAGTCTCAGGGTCCTGGGATCGAGCCCTGGGTTGGGCTCTGTGCTCAGCTGAGAGTCTGCTTGAGAATTCTCTCCCCCTCTGCCCCTTCCCCTCACTCGCACGCTCTGAAATAAATAAATAAATTAGTTAATCTTAAAAGACAACTAGAATTTCTTTTAAAATGTCCATAGATATTGCTGTAATTGATATCGTAATTTAAACTGCAGAAAAATTCTGTGGGAATAAAAACTGTAAAGCTATATAAAAGTATTAAGTTAGTAAAGTTCTTCTGTGCATCCTAATTGAAGATCCAGTAAATTTTTAAACTTAGACTTGCAGAATCTAACGACAAGTACCCCATCTTACTGGGACAGAGAAGAGATGGATTATGCATTAACATGTCCCCCATGACCTAATTTCTTTCATGGAAAAACCAAAGAACTGTGGTTCTTTGGAACTGATTTATATATGTTTTTTCACCAACCTAAATACATCTAATTAAGAAAAATCTTTTAAAAAAGATTATAAAATTACATAACATACTTGAATTAGCAATTTTGAACCATGACCTATGCCTTCTCTCAGTAATATTCTCTAGTGTTAGGGCAGAAGATAAAAGCAAATGATCTCCAAAGCTACCACCCTGCCAACTCTGAGACTAAGTATTTCCTTTGTTTCACCTCCTCTCTTTCAGAATAAAAACTGCAGGTTTTATGAAGTTCTTGGGTTTGAATGTACTTGATTTTTATCTGAGGTATGACATATATAAAGCAGCATGCAAGGAAAAAAATTTAAATGATCAAACAAAAAACAAATACAGCTCAATCAATATCACACACTCCTAAAAGCAGAATAAGAAAAGTTTAGCATTTGAAACAGCTGCATGAAATTTTAGCTAAGACAGTGTGAGGCTTATAGAGAGCATGAGGCATGCTAAAAAGGAAAAGGATGGTCCCAGAAAGTTGCTCTACTCATTGGCTTACCGCTCCGTACATGCTCTGTCTGGCCAAGGAAGATTGAAAGACATTCTATAGCAAATTGAGGCAGAGGACAGAACAAAATGATTATTAAAAACACAATGGCTTTAAAACAAAAATATAGTATAATCACTTTTTCTAACCCTGAGCATATATTATAAAGAAAATGTTTTGATCATCCCAAGTACAAAGAAAAATGAAGAAAAGCTAGTTTCAACGGATTTTTTTTAAGACAACAGTCTTTTCAAGTTAGAGTTATCACTAGTTCATTTTAAAATATAATTTTAAATGTTCATGCTACAAAATTTAGCAATAGTACTCTAGTTCAGAATGCACTAACTTTAAAGTAAAAAAGTTACAGGCTTTGGAGAACAATTTTTTTTTTTAAAGATTTTATTTATTT